ACATAAACTCTACCTCCTCTAATGTCTCCCATAACTCTTTCTTCCAACTAGAAATAAAACTTTCTTACACTGGATTCTCATGAAACACATAATTCTTAATAAATATTCTCAATGTTAAGTGTTTGTGTTTTAAATGTATTTTTCAGTAAGATGAATTTGATATCAAAATCATTATTTTATTCCACTTTAGTGATCTCTCTAGGTGTAGTAGGTACCTAGAGCAATGGAGACAAAATAGTTTTTCTTCCTTCTTTCCAACATCATTTGCAAAGTTAACCTTTTGTTCTACTTCTTTTCTTGCTTTTTTTAAATTTTTATTTTTTCACCTGTGTGGTATGTATGGCTGTATGTGTATGAGGTTGACGATGGGAATCATACTTGATCACTCTTTCACCATATTCACCGAGTAAAAGTCTTTGAATCAGAGTACTGAAAGATAGAGTGAGTCTTACCCCCATGTCTACCTTCAAAGGCTGAAATTACAGGGATGCTACCATACCCACCCAACATTTATGTGGTTTTCTTGGGATTCGAATTCTAGTGCCCACTCCACTCATTTTAATTTGTACACTTTCTCCCTCAGTGGTGGTTCTTTTCACCTGGCCTATAAATATATATTGTCAAAGAAATACTTCACAAACACAGCAAATAGCCTACAGAATGGCAGAAAATCTTCACCAATTACACTTCTAAGAGATAATATCCAGAATTTAAAACGAAATGCAGATGTTAAATGCCAAGGAACAACAAAAAGTCAATCAACAAATGGGCAAACGAATTGAATAGACACTTCTTAAAGAAACACAAATGACTAATAACTATTTTTAAATGTGTAATATCCCTAGCTATTAGGAAAATGAAAATTTAAACTACTTTGAAATATCATCTCACTCCAGTGAGAACGGCCATCATTAGTATATATGACAAATATTGGAGAGGATGTGTGAGAAAGTGTTATTGTGGAAACCAGTTTGGAAATGTCTCAAGTAATTAAAAATACAACTACTATATGATCTCATTATTTTAGTCCTGGGCACATACCCAGAATTCCATACCCTATCATAGAGATATTTGCAAACCCATGTTTACTGCTGGTTTATTCACTAAGAATTGGAATCAGTCTGGTTGTCTGTCAACAGATGAATAGCTAATGAAAGTTTGACATATAAAATGAAATACTATTCAATTCTAAAGAAAAATGTAATCTCGATATTTGCAAAAAAAAAAATTAGTGGACTTTGAATTATTAAGTGAGGTCCCACAATCTCAAAAAGAAATCTAAAGAAAAATGTAATCACAAAATTTGCAGAAAAATTGATATGTGTGTTTGAGAGAGAGAGAGAGAGAGAGAGAGAGAGAGAGAGAGAGACCCCGACCATTTAATAATATCGTTGCTTCTCTCTTGCTCTTGGATAACTCACCATAATCTATCCAGAATCAGTTTTCTGTCTGCCTTGGCACTTGATGGATTGCTAAGCCTCTAAAAGACTGAGAATCTCATCTGCATTGTATCTAATAATACCAACAATAACATTTTACATACATATAAAACAGGCAAATCCAAACTACAGATTTTCTGTGAACATATGAACTGTATTTGTCCAAAATGCCTGAACCCTTAAAATCTTTTTTTTTTATTTGAATTTATAGTGTTAGGCTTTGGTTTTATATAATATTCAAGGTTATTTTCTTTAAAATTTGGACCCCCCCAATAAACTACAAAAAAATCATAATTAAATTACTAAACAAATGAAAAAGAGAAGACAGTATATAGGTTCACTGTACTTTAAAATGAAAACTTTTAGGCACAAAATCATCTAAATAAGCTATTATTTTCTTTCCTTATCAGCCTGGCACAAATGCTGTCCCTACCTCTCCCCTTTTCTTTTCTTTTCTTTCTTTCTTTCTTTCTTTCTTTCTTTCTTTCTTTCTTTCTTTCTTTCTTTCTTTCTTTCCCCTTTTCTTTTCTCCTTCCTTCCTTCCTTCCTTCCTTCCTTCCTTCCTTCCTTCCTTCCTTCCTTCCTTCCTACCTACCTACCTACCTACCTACCTACCTACCTACCTACCTACCTACCTACACAAGGTCTTTGTTATGTAACCTAGACTACTCTCAAATCCGTGGCAAACCTCTTGCCTCAGTGTTCCAACTGCTAGGTTTGTAGGCATGACCCATCACACCCTACTTTAAAAAACTATAATTCTATTTCTAATGCACCAAATACAATAATCTAATAAATAAAGCAGAACTCATATGTCTATATTTCTAAACCAACAAATTAACACCAGCAGGAAGTACTAAGAACACAGCTGCAGACCTTACTTTAACACTGAGAAATTGATGAAGTGGTTTATTGTGAAGTGAATGTAAAGGTCCAAAAAAATAGAAGCAACTGTTGTCTATGAGGGTTGTGCACATTGCAGAAGATAAATAGGAAGTGAGCTGCTATGCTTCACAGGGTAGTAACCAGCTCATATTTGACCTAGCTAGATGTTTTTATAGTAGCAGAGATCTTAAGAGAAAAGCAATTGTTTTTCTTTCTTTGTAAAGAAAAGAGACTATTAACCACCACTACTAGTCATAGAAAAGCAAAGAGGTCTAGGAAAGTGTGTTACTGACCTTAAAAAGTATCTTTCTGGGAGTGTGGCACACTCCTTTGATCCCAGCACTATTGAGGCAGAAACACCAGGATCACTAGGAGGTTCAAGGCCAGCCTGTTCTTTTACATAAAACCCAGGCCAACCAGGGATACAAAGACATTGGGGGAAAAAACCAAAACACCACCAAAAAACTAAACAACACCCAAAACAGGAAAAATTAACTATGTCAACTGATTTTTCTCAGTTCTATGAAAAGAAGTCTGTTACACATTCTATGTTGTCACAAGGCAAGAGAAATTCACAAATTACTCAACAAGTACTCCAGCCTGAATTTATCTTATATAGTTCTATAAATTACTTTAGGTTTGAACACATACAATGTATTACTTAAATTTTCAATTTTATGTATTATAGCTGATGAGAAAACCTTATATAGAGTCCTAATCCTAAACCTGCCTTTATGTAGATAGGCAGCAAGTATAGGTAGGGCTACCAGACTAGGAGAATTTTGGGAAGAGTAACACAGAGTGAGTGGTGGGAGAGATGCTAAGACCACATGCAGATACATACATTAATAGAAATGGGTTAATAATTGAGAGCTAGCAACTAAGAAGCTTGAGCCATTGGCCAAACAGTTTATAATTAATATAAACATCTGTGTGTTTATTTGGGGCTAAACGGCTTCGGGACCAGGTGGGACAGAAATCCCCATCTCCGCCCAGCCATCTCCTTGTCTGTCTGTACAGAACTCCAGACCTCTGTGGTTAGCTAGTAGTAAGCTCCATTCTCTGACCTTCAGGTGGGCTTTATTTGTACAAGCAAGGAATCACCATACCTTTCCTCTCTAGTTTTTCACTTCAACTCCCTATTCCTTGAAATAATATCGAACCTGTCATAAGAATTTAACTGGATTCCGGTAATATGCACAGCATTAAAGATTTAAAAAAGCACAGCAAGGTTGTAATTAAATACTATAGGCACTCAATAAATGGTATTACAGGAATTACGGTATCAAAATTAATTATAGAGATTCCCAAGGGGTGGATATTTTCAGTATTCTGTAATCATTCTGAGTTTATTTCTCTTCCCTTAAAGAAATTTGGAAGCTATTCTTTAAGTGTGGGAGTTTTACCCACGTTTCTCTTGCCTCTTTATAGGTTTGACTGCCTACTTACTCTCTGCAAACAAGTCCCACTCCTTTGGCAATGGCACTTACATCAGCATAAGTCAGTGCTACAAGATAAAGAAGGGGCCCAAATAGGGAACAGAAACAAGGAGAGGGGTTGGTAACTTGGGTAGAAAGCAATGCTGCTCTTCTTGGGTAGTCTATTTGGCTAGCCTCAACAAGAGAAGTGGGAACTATTAAATATGACAAAGATAAACATGAAAGCCCCAGCTCACTCTCCCATAAAGAAGTACTTATTTTTCAAAGGTGAAGAGGTTAAAAAAACACTTCAAGTACTAGGTAGTTTACAATGGGACAAGTGCAGGCACAAGACTTCTTTTGGGTCAACCCAGTCTTCCACCTCCCATAGTTAGGCATATTTTGAAATAATAGTCAGAGGAAACCCTTTCTCTTAAGTGGAAAACCTAGTTTTCTTTACAAACAATGACTTTCTACAACTCCTTGCCCACAATTCCCTTAATATTTTAATACTTTTATATTGTGTCTCTACCAGAAACTGGGGAAATCCTTGTATCATATTTGTAAGATGACGGGTTATCTTGTCAAATGTCCTATGAGCTAATTGACTTATAAGGATGGGTTGAGGAGACAAATTATACTTCTTATAAAATAGATGTACCTTTCTCAATTTTTTTTTCATTTATACAACAGTTTTCCCTTGATAAAAGGTTTGATCAAGAATCGTATTTACTAAAGGATTATTAGGTGTACTTATAATTCCTCACTGACACCACTGTAATGTTAATATGTTAATATCTACTATTCTGATTATAAATAGAACCAAGAAGCTTACCAGAACAGCTTTAATATGATGCTTTAACACTTAACACATTCTCTCACTCAATACTCATGATGACCCATGAATATGCCTACTCAATAAATTAAGTCACAAAAAGACTGAGGAAGTTGCCTAAAGTCACAGTTACTAAGTGGTAAGTCCATAACACAGACCCAGGTCTGTCAGTTCCAAAGGACCATTCCCATAACTAGTCTGTCGTTTCTAATGGATGGAATCAGATAATTGAAGCACTCCTCAGAGGAGTTAGATAATGTTAAACACACATAATTCCAGTCCCTACAAGTACTAAGTCATACTTCACAAGCAAGTACAAAATTTCTCTATATTTGTCAAATATGTATGTATCAAGTTAATTGTATATTCTCTTTAGTTCTATGAGAGCTAATGCAAAAGACGGATAAGAGAACATTTTCTTACCAGTGCTGCCATCTCCACTCTCCATAGATGACTTATTGGATTCTGACGGATTGTTCATTCTTGAATCTACAATAAGCCAAAGGTGGAGAAGGTGTTTAAAAAACTAGGGTCAACAATGAAGCTAAGGAGCCAAAACTACAAGAAAAGCAAGGTTCATTTCAAGGAGCCCATGCATAGCATACGACAGGCTACAATACAATAAACTGAGTAACAGGTTATCTGAAAGACATTTAGGAGCTCCTGAATCATAAAGGAACCCACAAATAAATTATCTAAAAAATTTTAATATTCTTTTAAGAGAGTTCTAAGCTGAAAAAGATACTATAGTCAGATATACTAAAAATTATTTTTATGACAGTCAAGTATAATACACGTTTAAAATAAACTTGGAAGCAGTAAACACCTCAAAAAAATAAGAACTATATTCCTAAATGATTGTTTTCTAAAAGCAAAGATATTAATTATAACTAAAACAAGTTCATACTTAATAATAATCTAACAGATGAAAAGAAACCTGTCTAAAACATCCATTGACTTTCTTAACCAAACTAGAGTCAACACAAGGGTATGCCAAATATATGCCTCATTAAAAATAAGCATAACAAATTGCAGCAGAAGGCATAACAGGAATCTCTATAGTTCTAAAAAAGTCACACCCAGTTACACACGAATCTTCTAGTTTAAGGAGTCTTCTTTTTAGGGTATTAAATTGTAGTTTCCATAGTGAAATGTTGTCAATCACTATTAGCAATTCTGGAAAATATGCAGGAAGGAGACAAGAACATCTATGACCTACATCTTTTTCCAAAGGGTGAACAGATCAGACAAAATAGAGTATTTGTCATGAAATAAACTACTATTAGAGAACAAACAGAACGATACTGTACTGATTTTTAAAAAAAAAAAAAAAAATCTGCAGGAAAAGTCTCAAACATGCTGTCAATAGTTGCATTATCTACATGTATCAGGAACCTTTCTTTTCATACTTCATAACATAGAAAATGGACAATATGTTTTTTAGACACTGGGGAATATATTTTCTAATATAGTAAAATTTTATAACTGAGATATGTCTTAGGGGCCAAGGCAGTTCTACAGTAACCCTGGCTTGTTCAAAGGGGTTAAAATTTGTATGTTTGTGGTCATAAATGAGGTCATTCTACAACTTCCTCCCCCATTTTCCAGAAAAATTTAAATACCACCTGAAAGCACACTAAAGTTTGAAAGGACCAGGTGTACAACTTAGTAAAAATTAGCTTTCTGTTCGACTTAACCAAAGTCTTACAAAAGCTAACAAGTATCACAAAACTCAACTATACCATTTGTGTATTTTTAAAAAAATAGAAAAAAATGAATCTGTAAACATGTCTGAAAAGAGTTCATAATTTTCTCATGTCCAGACACCACAGTAACTAAGAAGCCTAATTCTTAACAAATCATGAGCCTGGTCTTAAATAATTCATAGCCTAATTTACACACCTATATATAAATTTGAAAATTATGTCACAAGTGTTTTACATGACTTTTCTGAGGGCCTTTTATTTTTACTGTCAAGACCTTCAAAAGCATTTAACAAAGTTACTTCAAACACAAAACAGAAGAAATAAATCCTAATTAAATATACAATGATGAGAATGCTGTTTTAGTGATACTTAGTATCAACTCTAAATAGTAGACAGAGGGTCTGACTTTTTTTTTTAGTGGTAAAAATAGTTCAAAGACATTTTTCTTTCATTTCTTGAATATCAAACTTGGTGGATGTAAAAGAGAAAATAGGAGTAATTTATTCATTGACATTCACAGCTTTTTTTAAAATAGAAAAACACAAGCCTATGTTACTTAACTAATCATATCATGAGTTTAATTTGATACCTATAAGTTACTACTAGATTGAGTTTCTAACTAACATCAATATGCTGTTTGTGTCATGTACATCCAAGACAGTAGGTTTTTTTTTTTTTTTTTTTTTTTTTTTTTTT